GCTCATGTGTCATGTGTGACTTTTCCTTTGGGTCACCATGTTTGCGTTGATTCCTTGTGTTTATCCCGGAGTGGAATCGAGGGACTGGCAAGAACCATGCCGATTGGGTTTGCTTTTGGAATAATAACTTGAACAGCATATGGGCAGTCATGTTCTGGAGACTACCCTGCCTCCAACATCCCCATGTGGACAAATGCTGGCCAGGTGTTGTTTGTGTTCCAGCATCCGATCGAGCGTGAGACCATGATCGCTGGAAACAGGGTATGTTCCTTTGGGCCTTTGTCTCTTAAACATGGTGGTTTTCCAGTTGTTTCCTTTAAAACCAGCGCCCAAGACCCCCCCCAGCACCAACTCCAAGAACAAATCCTCCATCTCACTGTCTCTCTACACCCGTGCGGGCCCGCAGAGGACGCCCCAGGCAACCGGAATTGAAGCGCTCAAAGGGCCAAGCCTGGCTCTTTGGGTTGGCGGCGTTCGCGGCGACCAGGTCCAACCTCGGGATTCGGGGGCGCCTTTCGGCGAGGGCATGGGTTCTGTTTGTTTTGGGACCCCCTTTTGGTTGGGCTTGAAGGGAAACCAGTTTCGGAGGTGCCCTAATAGAGACACACCTGTATATTGTTTGAGAATTCGCAATGCAATTTCAGCTAGAGATCGGCCGATCGAGATCCAAAAAATAACACACAAAAAGAGCGAAACAAATAGGGAACCACCGCTTCCATTGGCACGCTGTCCCGAGGAAACGGGAAACGGAAAACTCGGACCTACCGAGGCGATTCGGTTCTACGACCAATCAACATACCGGTGGTTGGCGTCCCTTTGGTTTCCCTACCATCCCAAGGGTACACACACACACACCTCCCTGCCATCTGCAACGCCCCTTTTCGGCAGAGAAACAAGCGTGAACCCACAGTTTACACGTTGGGTAGAGGCACCTATCACCGGTTGGAAATTTGGGATGGCCGACAGAATGTGCCGTACAAGTTTGAAGGCACTGCATAGCCCAGAAGTGGCATACTGGCTGTTTTGTAGGGCTCGGGGAAACTGACATGGGTGTTTCTTTTGAGGGTACCCCTTGTCTGGTGGTTTGAACGGAAAACCGGAAGAACACCAGCAGTCGGGGGGACGGGAAAGGGGGGGCTGCTGCAACTTACGAGCGTTGGGCCTGAGTTGCACCCCTGAATCAAAGCACGGAAAGTTGCCAGACATGTAAAAGGCAACATCTGGCAATGAACAAAAACAAGGGCTGAATACTTAACTATTTTCAGCAATGACTGAAGTGGCTTCATAGCACCCTGCAACCCCACTCTAAGCAACAGATTGACAATCACGACAGTTCAAAGGCAATGGAGCTTCCAGGTTCCTGCAGCCCGACCATATAGGTACGACACCACAAGCTGGGAGGGCAAAGCTCACTTTCCAACTGCGTCGCGCGTGGCCCTGCAGGGGCGGTTGTCAGAGGTCATGTAGGGACGTGGAGGCGCAAGGAGAACACGCCCGGCACACCAGATCGCCACCCTGAATCTGCTCCTGGAACCACGCAGTCTCCACGGCTCTGACCCGCGAGGGCGCGCGGTCATGACCGCCACCCAATTCTGGCACGATGAGGAAGTGCCAGCCCTGATGATGATGATGATGATGATGATGATGATGATGATGATGATGATGATGATGATGATGATGATGATGATGATCATTAAAATAATAATGATGATGATGCAACTTCCCTATGAGGCGCGGTGTTCGGGGAAAAGCAATGCAATCCTCATAGCAACTCTCTGCGCAAGCATAGTGCCTGCCCTTAGTCAGGAAAAGACCCTGCGCCAGTCGCACGCAGGCCGTTGGCTGTGCCTTAGTTTGGCACCGCTGCGTCCCATCGACCATGGCGTGCCCACTGAACTATCCTCTCATGCTTCTTTTGAGACACAAACGCCCAAGAGTCAATTGTGGCAAACAAATGCATGTGGTCACAATCCTGTCCTTGTGGTCAAGATGAGGGGGGAGTCCCACGTCTTCGACCACCTGAACGTCCTGGCTGAGAAGGGGCTTCAGCTTTGTACTGCAACGACTGCGTCTATGGCCACCTGGACCTGCGGTGGGAGGGCTGCTGGAGGTCCCCTCAAGTTTGCGCCACTGTCTTGGCAACCAAGTGCGTGTCTGGCGACTCTTGTGATTCTGGGGGGCGGCGCTCACCGGGCTCTGCTTTCAAGGGGTTCGTCATTTTCAGGAATCTGGTAAAACCAGCATCCCTGGCCATGAACTAGTGAGCGAGCTTTCCTCTGCTTCAACTTTGCGCTTGAGCTCGCGGCCCAAGGGCGTGTTGTCGGGCTTTTTCAGGAACTCTGCCCTAGCCCGGTTAGTTTCTCCACGTGGCATGGTCCTATCTCAGCTTGAGGGGATGGCCGTGAACGACGATCGCTGATCCGAGGATGACATGTCATGTCAGAGATTCAGAGCAAGCAGGCACCCTCTCACTTCACATGGCAGTCAAATCACGATGATGGTGAATCAAGTCTTAGCATGAGCTGCAACCCACGCTGCGCTCTCTTCCGTGAGCCGTCAGACACCAGTCAGTGGAGGGTAGTGTCGGCTAGTTCTCTTTCTACCGCCCACATTTGCTAGGCAGAGAGCGCCGGGGAAACAAACAAAGGGCGGGCCCCCCCAACGCCCACCCGGAGGGCGAAGGGGGGGAGGCAACAGCAACGAGGGGAAAAAAGAGGTTTGGACCTATGTCCAATTTGGAGGCTTGGAAGATTGCCCCGTTTCGGCCTGGAGCTTGGCCCTGTCAAAGTCAAATTCCTGGAGATTCATTCTCCGGCCTTTTTCTAGGCGTTTTAGTTTCCTGGTAGTTTTGGGCGTGTTGGGCTTTCTACGTGGTTTCTAGGAATTTTGCGCGACCCCCGAGCCCAAAAAACGTCTTTTTCTGATGTGCGGGCGTTTGCGGGGTTTTGCGGGCGTTTGCGGGCTTTTTGCGGGGGAAAACGTGAAACCGTACCAATTCTGAAATCTCATAAACAAAAAGGAGCTTTGGTAGTTTTAGGCGACTTCACGAAAAAAACATCGAGATTTACGAAAAGCAAGTCAAAGCCGAGAACTACCAGGAAATTCATGGAGAATGAATCTCCAGGTTGATGAAAGTCATCCATGGGACTTTGACAGGGCCAAGCTCCGTTTAAAGGCTTTAAAGGGACATGACCGCGGACTTTGAGGAACCCAGTCAAAAAATCAGCCGATGACCCGGAACATTCTTCGGGGCACCCGAGAACCCCGCTGCTCTTTCAGCTGCAGCCCCAAAGGCGAGTCCCGGCCGGCGAAATCCTGGCAAGGGACTGAGCCTCGGACCTGCAAAGTCCACGGGGAGACAAAAGGGCTATCTGATTGTTTGGTACGATCTATAAGCGATGTTTTGGTAGTTGCCACAAGTCGGTTTAAGATGAAGGGCAACTTTGCTTGGAGCTTGATGTTCAAAAAAGAAGAGACACGGGCACCACCACAGGTCTGGGGTGGAAACAAATTGATGCCCAGGGGGTGGCACGTAAGTTCTGAGGGGTGCTCGTGCCCCTGGCTCCTCTTCCTGGGCCCCCGTCAATGGAACCCCCTGATGGCTGTTGCAAGGGAAACTCATAGCAATCCAATCATTTTGGGGAGTCCAGTTTGACAAACCTAGTTGCATATGTGACACATACCCCAGGGGCATGTTGCTACTTGCCTTCGCACTCGCTAATGCCTGGTGTATATACTGAGATTCTCCAAAAGCCCAATAATGTCCCTCACAAGCTTGTGGTAGGCTCTTGGTACCCGCTCTCTGCTGTATATGCTTTCTGTTGCAGTCCTGTGACACAGGGGTACCTGGGGGAGACCCAAGAAATGTGTGGTTTCCAGGTGGTTTCCCTAACCAGCCCCAAGAAGGGCACCCTCGAAACCAAACCCGTAGGGCGTCTTGATCTTCCCTCCCAGGACCTGCACAACCTCCTCCAGCACCACGGCTGGCAGGCGGTACTTCTCCGCCAGCTGGTGGCCTGCGATCCGTGGCTGACAGAGGTCGAGCGGTCTAACCTCCTTTTGTTTGCACCAAAAAAGTGATGGCTGATCCTGGTTCCAATGTTCAATGAACATTCAAATGTAAAGTTTGGCCGAACTGATCCTTTCAAACAACTGCAAAAGTACTAGCCCGCAACTGCTGCGGGAAAGATGGCAAATGTCTTTTTCATGTGAGACAGTCGCACCGCGGAGAAACTGTCGTGAACCGATTTCAGCAGAACAAGGGAGCCATACAGTGCATGGACGACACCCTGCACCAGATTGAAAGCATGGTAAACCATTGTTTGTTGGTGTTTACAGGGGAATCAAATCATTCCAGGGTTTCTGAACGGTGGTGCGCAATGGATTTCGTCCATCCGCAGGGTTCAATTCTCTTTCCAGCTGGAGGTTGACTGGTTTCGGAACCCATGAGTGGAATCCGAGTACCTTGCTTGGGGCTCCAAGTCAAGGATCAGCGGATTCTTACATTGACTTTGTGCTGCCATGTTTGCCTCCCGCTTTGGCCCAAAAATGGACTTCGGATTCCCTTTGACGTCACTTTGCAATCACCCCACAACAGGTATGCTCAACAAAAAGACACCCATATCTACACAAGGCATCTCTGGCGAAGGCTTCGTTCCCAAATCAGCTTTGTCTACTTTTTTTGGCCGTTGGTTTCAAGCAGGGGCTGCTAGAAGTGCGGTACTTCTTGCCCTGCCTAAACCCGTCGTGAAGTCGCTAACCTCTCTGCCCAGAATTATTCTCTACCCGAGATGGTCATCTCAGTTGCCCAAAGGAGCCGGAAATGTAAAGTTAAACAGATATTTTTTTAAAAAAATGGTCAATGGGTCGATTCGCTTTTTGGGCAGGCGAGTCATTTCGTGTTCTCCCCCAGGTTGCGATTCAAATTGAGACAATAAGCGTCCCCGCAATGGCTTGAGACCCGAGCAAAGCTGCAAGCTGCCACTGCTAGGAGGTCCAGCCTCAAAGGAAGTTGTGTCGGAACCAGAGGAGGTGCGGGGGTCTGGTCCCAACCCCCCAGAAAATGCGGCCGGACAATCCATCCCTTGCATCTTGAGGATTGGAACTGGGTTTGAGACCCAGAATTGCCTGCATTGGGGGCCTTTGGCAAAAAAATGCAATGAATTTGAGGAGCCTGGGGCTTCAGCCGGGTTCGCTCTTTCAGCCGGCGTTTTGTTTTTCGGACTAGCACCTCAACCAGTCGAGACCTCTGTTCAGCGATAAGACCTAGGTGGTTCTTGCGATGGCCATCAAATACCATTATCAACTCTCAGGTTGGGGGCGGTCTAACCAAGCATCCCTTCCATTGATAAATGACAGAATAAGGTCCCTTTCGGAGAAGGTTCCGTCTGAGACCTGCCAATATGCTTGCTTGTGATGGGCGACGTCCACATTGGAGTTCCAGTTTGCCTCTCATACCTGATGGGATATCATGATGATCTTGTAACACCCCAAGCCACGTGCCTCCCTCCCTCTGCTGGCAAAACGGGTTACAGCAAAACAGAAGCTGGCCCAAGCTGTGCCAACCACATACTTAGCTTGTGGGAAATCTCCCTTTGTTGATTCCAATGAAGGATGACTACTTTCTAATTGAGAGGGATTCCGTTGCAATTTCAAGTTGACGCATTTGGTGCAACAAGTGGACCCAACAACTCTGATTTCCCACAGCCAACCAGCCCAGCGCAGCCGCGTCAGCTCTCTTTTCGGCCGCTAGGAGCAGGTCCGCCTCAGCGAACCGTTTCGGGCGGCTGATTGGCAGGGGAAGCGAGTTTTCTTTTTGGAGATCCTCCCCTTGCGGACGGTTTTATCAGGAAATAGCCCACCTGGAGGCATCCCTAAGATTGAAAAAAGGTGCGTCAAGTCAAGATAACAGAACAGGATGCTGGATGAGCATAGTTCGAACTGGAAAGCCCCCATTTTGAGGCAATGCGTCTGCAAGTTGCGTGTGGCTCACTTCCTTAAAGCCTTATGGACAAATTGTGTGCGGAGGACGCCGCGAAACAAACAAACTCCAAGAAGCCAGCTAGCGACTGCATATCCTACCGGAAACTCAACAAAACCAGAGGCCAAGCATTGGGCATCTTGTTGCTGTGGCCATGGGAACAAAGTACACCTTTTCTTGGTGGGTGATTGGAAGAGTTGTTGACCGAATCTCCAACGAAAGCGATAGCGCTCCTATTTGCCGAATTCATGCCTTCTCCCCTCGGCATGATGGCTTCCTGTTGGTTTCCCTTGAGTAAAGCCAATCAACAAGGCCTTCCCTACTGGCACCATTTGAAGTATTTGGGTTGGGAACTGGTGTGTGGCTGCTTCACGCTTTGAAGCATTTGTTAACAGCCGACTTGTCACTTAGGTTTGAGCCAAACACAGCTCCCAAGCCCTGCTTGGGTCACCCACCTGCACAACCATCCCCTGCCCCCACCCCAAACTACATCCCCCCCACCAGCCGCTCAAAAACACAAAAGAAACAAGCCGCACCACCCCTGTATCTATACCGGCTACACCAACCCACCGCCAGCCACCGCCTCACATCGCTGGCCAATGACCCAAACGCGCATGGCCGCACGCCCTTCTCGCCCAAAATTGTTCAGGGCTGCCCTAAAGACCCGGCGCAAGCGTGCGTACACGAATTGGACCCTGGGGAAACCCGTTTACCAATACGATGCCCAATGTGGACTTTGTTCATTCGGGTAAAGCCTTGGTTCAGCCTTGAATGGCTTTTCTCACCTCAATATTGTTTTTAAAACGACCTGGGATAACCTGCTGTTTGCAGAGGGTGGGTTTGCAGCAGGCGATTTGCCAACACTGGGGAGGCCGGATGTATTGCTCTCAAGTGTGTGACTCTCTGAGGAAGCCACATGGCGAGCATCCGCTTGTAGGTCTTCGCCATACGCTCCTTCCAGTGGTCGAAGCGATCCTTGGAGCACAAGGAGCTAAGGAGCGACAGCTCATCGTTTGGCGAAGGATAAAACTCGATGGATCCTATGTTTCTTCATAACTTGCTGTGTCCTTTGGTTGCTGCTTCGAATTACATATTTGCTCTTTTTTCAGAAACGTTTTTTTGGTTTGGTTGTGTTTTTGTGTTTTGTTTGTGTCCTTCTTTTTTTGGGAGGGTGGGGTGGGGTTGTTTGGTATGTTTTGCCGTGGGTTGGCCGTCAAGCTGGTTGCTTTTGGCTTTCGAGGGAAACCAACACCTAGTTGATCTTGGGTTTGAGTAGAATCATCTGGATGATCCATATTGAGGAAGTGGTCTCGCCCCCAAATCAAAAATCCCTACTCAAACACTCCCCCATGAGTAAACCGGGGTTGTAAACTCCGGGATCACATTTGGACGCACCTAGGCGTGGTTTCTTTTTCTGAAACATGTGTTGGTTGCGCTAAAATCAGCGTGAACCATCTAGAGGCGTCCCCTAGTGTTGACAGCGATGTTGTCGTTCTCGAAACAAGAAGCGACAAGGAGTACGGACCAGTTTGCTCTCTACTTGGGAAGGGAACCTCCAAAAACATGGGCCGCAAGGGCTAGCTGTGACCTGTGTTTGGTCAAGACAAACATAGAATTCTCCCAAATAAGAGAGAAATAATGACAGGCACAATAGGGTCTTCTAGAATCTTTGAAGAAGTGCCTGCCATGCTTTTGGCTCGCTTGGCTTTCTCGAGGTGTTTGGACTTTCAGGCAAAAGAGCAAACGTATTGATAACTAGGTTTTTCGATCACCGTCCCAGTCATCTGTCAGGCAGGTTCTAGACACATAAAAGAAACATGCCCGGTACCAGAGGAAAGCGATGTGAAGAGGTCATCATACACAATTGATCAACCAACCAAAACATTCACACAATGCCGCGGTCCTGAACAATCAGCCGTGATTTGTTCAGGCACAATCGCATCCGGCGCCTTCCGTGCTCATCAGCCTCTGACCAAATTGCCCCCTTGGCGAGTCATCTGCCAAAGTGATGGTTGCTCCAGAGATCCGATCGGCACCAGAAATTGTGGTCCCCTCTACGCCCCCCCCCAAAAAAAAAACAAACACAAATGACCAATGTTCTAGAGAAAACAGATCCCAACCATCTCACGAGCCTACCTAGATTTCCGTTTTAGCCATCAGCCCACCAATCTCCACCAAAGAAAACTCCCTAGTTGTCCCTGGTTGAGTTGGTGTTTAAAACCACCGGACATGTAGGGAGCCCCATAGTTTGGTCAAAGGCGCCGTCACCAGCACATTGCAGGGCGGGAGCTTGCGCAGGGCGCCCAGCTCGAATTCCTGAGCCGGTTTTGCAGCAACGAGGAGCCCGGAGATGGATTCCTTTTCTGGGTGACAGTATTCCATCAAACTGTGCCATCTACTGTCAAATACTGTAGACAGAGTCCACGAACAACTAAGAAGTTATCCATCCACCTTTGGTTTGCGGTTGGATGAATTGATATATGAGTTGTTTGGAGCCCAGTTTAGAAGGACTTCCACATCACCAAGAGATTGGGTGAGTCATACTATGTATAAACATAATTATATATATGTCACATTCTGTCACCAAATTGCAAAGCAAACCTTTATCATGGGCGAGGTCGCAAACTCCCTCTTCTGATGCCTCTGTAGTTTACTCAGAATTCGACACCAAATTCAGATTCCGCATATAAGACCCACATGTGAGTCACAAATATGACAAGCCCAAGGTTTCAGCGTTTCAGCGTGCTCCCCCAAAACCAGGGGTCGAAACCAACCAGGGCACATGTTCAGAACCTGTACTTAGCCGTGCAACCCACCAGCTGTACAACACATGGGCGCTCGACAAAGCAAAGGCTACTCTAGGTTTGGGTTCCGAGGGCTTGTGATTCCGCGATTCGGACTGGCCGGCCCCAATTGTTGGGAAGTTAAAGTGTAGCAAACCTCAAAAAATGTCGTTACCATGCAAAGGGAGGAACCCAGTTCTTGCTCCAAAAGGTAAGAAGTTGTTCAAGGCCCTGAAAGGCCTTAGGGGAATCTCTGGGCTTTGCTGGGGCCAGCCCTACCAGCTACATAATTCAAACAAACACATCACAAAACGCCGAACACGCAAACAACTCGACTGACACCAAAACATCACAATCCGGCATGACGAGAATGTCTAGTTGATTTACGGGGGCACCGCCCAACGCAAACAAACATTTCGTGGGCTTCAAGTCGGATTCACAAACCGATCAGAAAAGGGTCAAAATAAACTCGCATGTGTTACTTCTGACTTGTTACTTTGGGTTGTCTGATGTTGTCTGTGTCTGCCTGGGCACTCTCCTTGTTTCACTCTGCTTCCCTCCCCTCTGTCTCTCTCTTTCTGACTCTATCCGTCTCCTTCCGTCTCTGCGCGTCTCTGTCTGTCTCTCCGTATGGCTTCTTTCAGTCTGTCTATCTGGCTGTACCCAAGGAATCAAAATGGATTTCCCGAGTCTGGTTCATTGTCCGATTAGCATGGATATGAAACCACACCAGTTATCTTTGTTTAGCATTGGCAATCCTGTATGAACAGGCACCATATCAAAGGCAACAGAAAGAAGTGCACATGTTGATTTCCCGCTTGCCCCCTTCACATCGTCAACCATATCCCAACAGCGCTTACTTTACTGGTTTCATTTCCTGTTGGTATTAGCCGCATCGTCAAGCTTCGGCGTTCCCTGTATATCTCGATTGTGAGCCAATGATGGGTTGGTCACAATCAAAGGAGCTCGGTAAACATTGCAACCACCGTATGTAGTGTTTAATCGGCCTCACACAACTGGCTCGATGGGAACATCGCCTGAGCTTGTCCAAATACTGACATTGCAACTTGTAGCTAGCTCAAAATGAGGGGACGATATGGTTGGATCCCTACCATTTCCCTACCAGTGCTTGCATCTTGACGCTGCCAAGCTTCCACCAGTTGTTCGGCATGCTGCGACAGGTCCTCTCTGATCAAATGCACCCCGCCACCCCTTCAGCCCAATCTGTACGCCTTAT